ATGGGTGTGGGTGGGGTGGGTATGGATGTGGGTGTGGGTGGGGTGGGTATGGGTGTGGGTGCGGGGTGTGGGTGTGGGTGGCTGGGTGTAATGAGAAGACGAAGATTCACCGAGCCACACCCACACCTCTCTGCAGAATAGAAGCCCACTGGGCTTCTAATTTGTTTTGAAAATTATAAGTTTGAAGGTGGGCTTCAATTACGATCAACTTTTTTTCCATTTTTTTGGCCCTTGATGAGAAACAATTGTTGTTCTTTTTTTAACCATTCGAGAATCTGTTTTCGATCACAATGATGTTGTCGACTAACTTCAGAAATATTTTTGCATTTTTTAAATGCATTGATAACATTTAGTTTTTCTTGAACAGTCCAAGATCGACGTTTTGAAGAAGAATTTTCGATGGATTTGTCGTTGCTGTAATGAGATTTTGTTGGTTGAATCAGATTAGTTGTTGTATCACTCATGGAAGATATTGGAATGTCAATTTCAGCTTGTTGTTGATCATTATCTTCTTCATTGTCTTATAATTCGTTGGTAATATCCGTTAAATCTATTACATTATCAAGCATTTGAATAACATTTTCAATGACTTCGTCGTCTGAACTAATTGAAGAGTCAGACTCGATATCAATTTCTTGAGTTAAAGAATGTAATGGTAATAAGTGAGTTTCTTCCATTCCAAATAAGTTTTTATTCACAACTTGAATGAAAATGAATTACTGTTACGAATCGACAGAGAATTAATGTTGCAATACAAGTATTAAAATGTATATATATGATTGTTTTTATATCGAAAATTAGAACACAATAAAAAGAATTATTTTTTCTATACAAAATTGTCGACGGTCACAATTGACGAACGAAGTTCAATAGTCAAAGAACAAGATATACAAAACGAAAGAAATAGATTGATGACATGAACATTTAATTTAAAAAAATTGAAAATTATCAATAGAATGTTTGTCTTCTTGATTTCTCTATATATACACATTTCGAGTGGGCTTCTATTACGTCCGAAAAACTATAACTTTGGGACTGGGCTTCTATTCCGGATGGGCTTCTATTATAGGGTGGACTTCTATTCTGCAGAGGGGTTTAAGTGCATCAAGTAGAGAATAGACATCAGCCATTATTTAACTCAAAATCAAGCAAAAAAAGAATTAGTATGAATAAAAACATTTAATAAGTTCACAGTTCACAATGTTCCACAGTTTTATGTCGAATAGAGTTCTAAAGTTGTGAAGGCCAATAATATCTCTCTGATGCTGGTAGTTAAGTTATGTTCTAGTAGTGGGTAACGTCTGCTGTTGAGTGAGCTCTGGATGGATACGTTGATGTTTGCGTTTTAGATACGTGAGAGTAGTATCCTTTACCTGTTTGTTCATCATAAAGAGCGTAATAGTTATCAGAGTAACAAAAAATGTTATATCATTGTGGATCAGTAAATAAAATGATTCTGGTGGTGGATTTTTGGGATTGATTCTATGCCAAAGAACAAGCGTTAAGAATGGTGTACCTCCACCAGCAAAAAGGCCAACTGTAATCACCATATTTCGAGCCAACTTCATTTCACGTCTCGCATTTGGTATATCAACATTTGGGGCCTCTAAGGCCGCGATTGCGATCCGTCGTGACGATTGTAGGGCACGATACCATATTATACTGTAAATAACAATAGACAAGCTAAGTGGAACAACAAAACCAACGAAAATGGCGTAAATGGATGTGGAGAATGTTTTTGTGGTCGGCATACAAAGACGTGATTCAGTTTCAAAGACGTAACCGTCCTCAAAGAAAAATAATTCAATAGAATATAGAATACCGATAATCCAATTCAGAGCAGCCATATACCAATGAATTCGAAAAGTTAGCAAACGCTTATGTTTAAAATATACAGTGAAAAAGAGACGACTAACAGCCTGAAACATATACGAGTAGCAAATCGATGCACAAGACGCTAGGAAACAATATCCTCGGAATTTACAAGCGGGTTGGTTGAATGCCCAATCCTCTCGAAAACCGTAAACGGATACGATAAGAGTATTGAAAAAATAAGACGAAGTGAAAACACATGTATTGCTCAGAAGAAGATTTGTGACAGTACGACATGGACGGTGAGTAATGATAATCACAATCATCATAACATTAAAGAGAAAAGCGAAAGTTGAAGTCACAATTGAGAACGAGAAATTGATAGTAAAAAATAAGTTGCTGAGCATACTTGATAAAAGATCAAGATGATGTTCGAATAGTTAAAGATGGTAATCCACTATTTTTTCTGAAAAGAGATCTATGTGTTAAGACTGCAATCTGTCATACTATTTGCTATGCTTTTACGATCATATTAATAACGCATTGGTAGTCGTTGATATGAGTCGACACAGCATAGCTTTGATGCGTTTGTCTATTTAAATTATTACACATGATTTCGTATCTTTCTTTTCATGTGTCTAATTACGACTTTGATGAATGCATTTTTAATCGAAGACGTTTGTTGTCCATGGGGGTTTCAGATTTTTGCTACAATCAATGGTATCGAAGAAATTTGTGTTTAAAGTTTTAGCACATTCAGTGGAGTTGATGAAAATTCTGAATATTTTCTTCTTTAAAGAATACCATCAACAAAACTAAGTTATTAAAATTGAGTATTTTTTACATAGAAGAGTACGCTAAAGCTTCCCTTTCATTTTTTCTTAAGTTTCGAAAGAACTGCTTTGCGATCGATGTCAGCTTTTAAGGTAGTATTTGTATAATGATTGCTAAGGCACCTCTCAAAACCCAAGGTAAGGGTTTTGGTAGCAGTTGTGATGGAGATGCTGTCGATAATGTTGATACATAACCTGTCTGTCATTGATGAATATGTAACATCGTCTCTTACTCTATTGTATATCCCCATATCGTTCATTAGCTGATCGTTCACTAGAATAGCACTGTGATATATGTTCTGTCATCACTATCATTAGTATTGTCTATCGACTCTTTCCTTTCTTCTATCTCTTTATGTGTTCACTCTCTCTTTCTCTCCTGTCTGACCATATATAAACGGATGCTTTCTATGTAAACGAGGCGATTGTATGATATGAAGGAACATAATAAAGTGTTATTCCATCTTCACTCATACTTCTTCTATCAAAAAATCGTCAGTCAATTATTGTCGATAATGAATATTTATTGTTTCAGTATGATGCATAGGAGCCTCTGCATAGAAACATATTTGATAAGAGTGTGAATTCGGTTGATCTTCTTCTCCTACCGACACACTCCTACCTCTCAATGTGATGAATGATGTTTCTGTCATGTTGTATTTCACACAAATGCATGTAGTTTCGATAGATGAGAGTAGAATCGTTCACCAAGAATTTGATCATCATCATGGAAACAAAAAGGATGTTTTATTGTAGATCAATATAGATGGACTCATACCAATCTTGGATTGTCTTTCTGCCGGCTTCATTTCACTTTTAATATTTGATAGATAAAAAATTGTGATCTTTGAGACAACCACAACGCTGAATCGTGATGATTCTAGAGTACGATACTAACTCACACAGCCGTTGTAGTCAGTAGACAAAGCCAAGTTCATGTTCAAAGAAACAATTGTCTTTGAAGAAAAATAGTTCAATAGCAAACAGAAGACTGAAAATACAGTTTAGATGATGAAACAGATCGAATTACTGAGAAGAAGTTTGGATGAGAAGCTGAGAGCACAACTAAAATAAAAATTTTGCTGAAATAATAGAAGACTCAAATTCTGAAAATTTACTATTATAAAAAACGAATGGTTCTGTAAGCAAATTGTGTAGCCTGTCAAACTGTCATACTGCTAGAATTGGATTAGTTACGCATCGACAACCATTGATATTTGGCACCACATAGCTATGTACTTCAATAGACTCGAATCGATTAGTACACTGCATTGTTGTTTTTGTGCTAAATTAAAGAAAGACCTTGTCAAAGTGGACATCATATACCAATCATAGATTCAGTTTTGATAAGATTAAGTCAAATGTGTACAAAATAAAACTCAATGATGCAATCATCTTGATGAATAGAAAATCTTTTCTAAAAACAAGAGTTAGGGAAAACATTCGTATTATACAAAACCCGATCGAACTCAGAAACACATAAGTATCTTGAAAATACTGACTTAAAGACGCATAAGGAGAAAACAAAATAGATTTCCAAGATTTTGATTGAATATTCAAAAGAGTTTCTAAGTTTTCACACATCTGTCGAATGCTCATAAAGTCCATCATTAGAATTCGAAATTTTCTAAAGCAAAGGATTCGGAGTTGAAGTCTTTACTGTTTCAAAACTAATTTTTGTTGAACTTCAAACATCTTGGTTAAAGGGAAAAATAATGATAAGTGTAGTGTCTTTTTTCGTTTTTTTTCATGTAAGTTTCATTAAAATGAACTTCAAACTATATTTATATTGAATTTTACGTCGTCGAGAAAGTAAAAAGGTCATAGGTTTCTCACTCTATATGAATATCATTGGTAGTTTATTTGTAATAGTTGTAGGATCGAAGCCTTTGGAAACAGATGAATAACTATCGTTTCAACGAATATGTTAGTTAATTAATATCATTCATATAACAGACAAACGATATATTCTGTCGTGTTTTTCACAAGATGATGAATTGCAGATCAATAGAGTTGTTGTTGATTTCAATCAGATACTGAAATGTATCTTACAATTAGATACGAAAAAACTTGTTATCACAGCTCCTATGAAGCTCAAATGTAGAACTTGTATGCATTCTTTTCAGTTCTATTATTCTAATACATCATATCTTTACTGAAAGACTTCTATTTATTTATAACTGTTGACACTAATATTTGATGACAAGATCGAGAATCTCTGTTTTCTTCTATATTAAGAATACAAAATGTCTTTTTCATTTAATCACGACTGATTTCATTGAAAGTTGTTGGATACACTTGAGAAGAATCACCACAATATTGTGATAATGCATAATAAAAAAAAGAAATTAAATAGACATTTTCTGAACTGACAAAGTATATACAATAAAAATAAAAATTAAGGACACCTAAAATTTTGACATAATTTATAATTCATAATAGCGTGTGGGTGTGGGTGGGTGTGGCTGTCGCTGTCACTGTGGGTGTGCGAGTGTGGGTATAGGCGGAATTAATATCTACACCCACATCCACACATCCACACCCACCCACGCCTACGCCCACGCCCACACACCCCACCCACACCCACGCCCACACCCACACCCACGCCCACACCCACACCCACACCCACACAGCTGTATATAAACAACATGATTAAACATACCAAACATCGATTTTGAAAACGATTTTTTTTTCTGAACTGTTTCTCGGCTGTTAATTATTCGAGAACATGCTGATCTGGATCGATGATCGAGAGAGGACTACCACGAAGTGGTCTAATGGAGATCGAGTCATCTCCAGGTCAGTCAGATTTCAAGATCTGACTTGCTTCAGTTATTCGGAATAGGAATAATTAAAATGAAAATAAATTGAAAACAATGCCATCTCATGGTTTTACAGAAAAAAATAATAAATGATCTATATGATAGGTTTGAACCAAGCTCTCAGAATATATCATGAATCATGTCAAAAATCACGACACATGAAACATGTTTTATCTTAGTATGTACTCAAGATCTGATTCAAGATCTTAGTACAAGATAATATGATTATCTTGTACCTAAATTTTCAAGATCTGTTCACATTTCTGTACCTTGCATCTGGGTCAAGATCTTACTTACAAGATGTTCGACTAGGGTATGGGAATCTACATTTTCAACTCTTGAAGAATAATGGTTTGTTTCATTCCGCTCCTTAACGTGTCGCCAACGAATCGTTTCAGATATCTAGTACTTCTAATATCTTATCTTCAATCCAACTCATTCTTTCAGTAGAGGGTTAGCAGCGTTTGCGCTGCGTTACTTGTTGTTTCTACAGTTTTATTTTCAAAAAGATAGATCTTCATCAAAATGACAGATAAATGTGTACAAAATTGATACATTGAATATGGACCTTACTTTCATTTATTCGAGATAAAAGTAAATTTGAAAAGTGTAAATTATCTGAACTGCTTGCTTAGTCGTTCTAATTTGTCTATTACATTTTAACCGATTTGATTAACATTTCCTTTATTTCATACAAAAGTTTGACGTGGATGTAGTAAGGAGAAGATCAGCATTCATACTCACATTCAAGCACATCCACACCCTTACACGTAAATTAAATGATAAGCAGTTTATATTTATTATGAATGTAAATTATTTTGTTACAGGATTTATATGTACAAAGAAATATAAATTATCCTAATTTGTATTTACAAATAAATGTGAATTTTCATGATTTGCATTTACTTGTAAATATAAATTCTGCAATAAAATAATTTATTTTCATTCGTAAATATCAATCTTGTAACAAAAAGAAATTACATTTATAATAAATGTGAAATCATGATTCACGTTTATGTTAAAAATGACTCTTTTTTGCTTTTCGTAATTTATTGGATTTAAATTAAAATGATTTATCAAATTTCTATGTGATAGTAGGTAGGAATGTCAAATTTACATTTACTTTTGATTTAATATACGCGTAAATTAAATGATAAGTAATTTATGATAAATGTAAATTTCTCATAATTTGTATCTATTATAAATTAACCAGTAGATGACAACACCTAGTAACCAGAAAAGAATGAAAATGTGAAAAGTTGAATCATCTCGTAAACAAACACAAAAACACAACGACATAATCAAAACATGAATATTCTATTACTCGTTAGAATTTTTTCTGTTTGTTTTCTTCGTGAAGCACGCCATATGCTGTCTTTA